CCCTTCCGCAAGCGTCGCCCTTTTGGGGGACGACGAGCTTTCCGCCTCGGCAGGCGGAAGCTATTCCGCCGACTACTCCGCTGACACTTCCGTCGATGTTTACGAGTACGATTACGCCTCACCCGCTCGCCGCCGGATGACGACGGAAACGGGCCAATCAGGCGACGGCGGCGCGCCTGAGTGGGTAACCCCGGGTATTTTTGAGCACCTGAAGAGGATTCAGGCGGCTCATATGCGCGGGGGGAGCGCGGGCGGCGCGGGTGAATTGGGGGGCGCGCGGAGACTTCTCGGCCTGGATGGCGCGGGTGTGGATCATGCTTATGGCGGGGATGCGGGTGATTCTTACGATGCTGTTGATCAGCTTCGGAGGGGGCTTCAAACTTCGGGTTCGGGTTCAGGTTCGGTCTCCAGCAGCGTCGGCAAGAAGAGCCAGGGCGGGCATCACGGCGCGAATGGCGGGCATCACGGCGCGAAAGGTGGACATCACGGCGGGAAGAACGGCGGGACGAACGGCGGGACGAACGGCGGCAAGAACGGCGGGACGAACGGCGGCAAGAACGGCGGCAAGAACGGCGGCAAGAACGGCGGGAAGAACGGCGGGAAGAACGGCGGGAAGAACGGCGGGAAGAACGGCGGGAAACCGGGCGTGAATATGGGAGGACTTCTGGATACCGGGGACTTCAAGGGCGAGTACAGCAGCCTGCTGCCGCCCCAGGTGGACGCGATCGTCGCCAAGGACGGCTCCGGCACCCACAAGACGCTCACGGTAAGGACGATTTGACGGCTAGCGGTGGGAGTAGACGGACACAGCTTGGTGTGACGGCTACATGTAGTACCATTTTCCTGTGTCTAATAACAACCTTTCTTTTTCCTTTTTGCTCACCCTGGTTTCTTGCAGGCTGCAATTGGTTCCGCACCAATGAAAGGCACGTTTGTTATCTTCATCAAGGCGGGAGTGTACGACGAGCAGATTATTTTCGACAACAAGGGGATTGTCCTCGTTGGAGAAGGAATTGGAAACACCATTATCACTGGCAAGAAGAGTGTGAATGGCGGATCAACCACCTACAACTCTGCTACCATTGGTAAGTAACGACTCAAACTCGTTCCCCCTTTGTTCGATCTCTCTCTATCCAGTCTTTCTCCTTCCGCCCTTCCCCTCTCTCTCTCTCTGCGGGAGAGCAGGCAGTGGCACCGCGCTCTCTCATCTCAATCGGCGTAGAATGCATCCTCACTCCCCGCTCCTTTCTCTCTCTCCCGTCCCATCCAACACCCAATCTTCCCCCAACCCTAGGTGCCAACAAGGGCATGTTGACAGCACTCGGAATAACCGTCCGCAACACGGCGGGGCCGGCGGGCGAGCAGGCAGTGGCGCTGCGATCCAAGGACCTCTCGGCTTTCTTCGAGTGCGAGTTTGACGGCGCCCAGGACACTCTCTACCCTCACAGCGGCCGGCAGTACTTCCGCGACTGCCGCGTCGGCGGCACCGTCGATTTCATCTTCGGAAAATCCGCGGCCGTTTTCGACCGTCCGCAAATCAGGCTTCACCCGGACGATCCGGTGATTATCACCGCGCCGCAGAACGACCCCAAGTACCCAGATCCCAAGGGGATTATCATCAGGGATGCGGTTATCAGTGCGGACGCGGGCGTCGGGAAGGCGTATCTGGGCCGGCCGTGGACCAACACGGGGACTTCCATTTTCATCAACTGCTTCCTGCCCAAGGAGATCCAACCTGAAGGTTGGCTGACTTGGGACGCCGACACCGTTAAGCTCGCCAAGAAGAACGGCGTCTTCTTCGCGGAGTTCCGGAGCACCGGGCCCGGAGCGCGCATGCCGCGTGCCAGGTGGGTGTCGCCGCAGAGGATCAGCAACCCCGCGAGATTCACGGCGGAGGCTTTCCTTGGATGGACGAACTCTGGCTGGGCTGGTGTGGGACAAGAACCTGACGTTGACAACAGCGGGAAGTAGTGACGCTTATAACGAATCAGAGGCCGCGGAACGGTTCGAGTGGCGAAAGACCCGTCGCGGGTGAACAGCATAGGCGTTTCTCGGGGTTTCGCATTCGGCAAGGCGGGACGGCGAACACGAACCGTCAACGACAGAAGTCCAGACCTATCGCTCCTGAATAAAGTCGGCCGGAACCCGAAAATAAAAAGGAAACGGTACTAAACTGCGAAATAAAGACAATGTGCCAGCTCCAACAACCTCGGTTGGACCGCACATAGAAACTAGGATTGGTCGCGGATCATGATTCAGCATAGGCTCATCTGTCAGAATTTGAAATGTGTGAAATCTGAAACGCTAACAATATTGGTTTTTGTTTCTTCTCTAGTTTCAAGATTCTAGACTCCCCAGATTATCAATAGAAAAAGCTATATTCCAAGACCACTTTCATGCTCAAATACCACAAGTACAGTGAGTCGTTTAGCTGCATACACTTGGATACAAACACAAACTACCTATACAAGCCAAGTAAATGCCCTGTTATACCTTATTGCAACTCCAGGATGTTGTTGCCCTACTTCTTACCAGAGTGTGCTCAAGTACTACGAATCAGAGTTCTTGCAGCTAAAAAATAAAAAGAATACCCAGCTCGTCACATACAAAAATGATAAACGGGGAATCCTATACCAGGGCGGATCTTACAACAAGTGGGCTGCGAACATTATGGCCATACTGGTCCTTCCATGTGATGGACCCAAACCGGAAGGCCGCAACCGGCTTCAACGACGATATGGTTACAACATATGTGGCTGCTTGTCCTGGGCGCAGCGTGAATTTGGTGGGCCACACACTCACCTTGACACCCTTGGGTGCATCAACTGAAACTTTGTATGTCGACGTTTCAGAGAACACATTCGTGGCTCTCCTTGTAACAAAAGCAATGCCGACGAGGTTTGTAACGGAGATGGACGCCCGGTTGAGATTGTACGCCCTCATTGGCACGATAAAGGGCACAAAGGGGAAGAACCGCTTTGTCCGAATGAAGCTCTGCCCTGCCAAAAATCGCAAGTAGCTCCGGAAACGGGTATTATATGTCAACCCGGGATCCAAGGCGCGCGACGGATTGATGTGCCCAGCTCCCATATCCAATGGTGTAGCTTCACCAACTGCCTCTCTTTTTATCGGCTTCTTGACCCCATTATCAGTGTGTGCTGTAGTCATTAGTGCGGACATTACTTGCGCCGGGGTCCAGTGTGGCCGGCGTTGCATTATTAGCGCAGCTACACCCGCGATGTGAGGTGTAGCCATGGAAGTCCCGGAAAGGTACGTGAAATCCCGCGACTGTGGATATTGGGGGTTGAGACTCCAACCCGAAGCTGAAGTCGAAGCTCCCGAGCCTGAATTGGTGCTTGGAGGATCGGAATTGATTGGTGTCGAGCCTGGGGTGTCACCCCCGGACGTAGAACCATCAGGTGGAGTAGAGCCGTCAGTTGGAAGGGAATCCCCCGAGGAAGATAACGAGTTATCTGATGTGGCTGATTGGTCGCCTCCAGAATCTGAGCCAGCACCGCCGGAATCTCCCGGCATGGCAGCCACAAGGTCGCAGCCCGGACCGATGATATCTGGTTTCAGGATGTTGTTCGTCGGTGTGAAAGGCGGGAATATCTTGAATCGCGGGCTGACGACGGGCCCAGCAGAGGAGAACGACGCAATGACGGGAGCCGTTGGGTCGATAGCCGTCCAAGATGCCGTGATTTCCGCCGACGGGTTATCTGTAGACTCGATATATTTTCTCAGAATCTCTCCGTGCTCCACAGATAGAACGATCGCAGGCCTTCCTCCCGCTCCTGCTGCGACTTCCTTGAGCGTCGCAAACATCCCCGCTTGAGGCGTCTTCCTTTTCAGGTTCAGTGTGTTGACGACGCCTGAGGGAGAAGTGCTGCTTCCCACAACCAGCACGGCTCCAGCTGATGGTGCTTCAGCCATGCAGGCGGAGAGGGAGGAATCAGAAGAGGTATAATTGCAAATTACCCAAGGAACGGAGTCGTCGGGAGAGGAAGGAGGGGCATTCATGACTGGTGTTGAGTCTGTCCAGGTGCCTGCAGTAGACGAGTTGTCATCAGAAGAACTGTCGGTAGTAGAGCTGTCAGAGGAGTCAGAAAGCAAGGCTTCTGGGTCTGCTGTTGCTGTGGTGGCACCGCTCCCACTGGTGCTGCTGCAACTAATAACACCGCCGCTGCTGCTGGTGCCGCTGCCGCTGGTGCCGCTGCTGCTGGTGCTGTCGCTGTTGCTGACATCGCTGCTATCATCTAAAGCTGGGTCATCAGCACCACCCGAGCCATCGGTAATGCCAGTGCTGCTGCTGCTATCATCAATTGTGTTGTCAGAAACAGCATCACCGGCAGAACCATCAGTGCCGCCAACATCAGCAGCACCAGCAACATCGGTGCCACTTCCACTGCTGCAGCTGACACTACTCTCCCCTCCTCCCCCTGTTCCCCCTCCTCCCACTCCCCCACTCCCTGCCCCTGTCCCGGAACCTATGAGAGAGACTGCGCCGTTGGTGCCTACGGGAGGAGGGGTAGTTCCCACGCCAGTGATTTGCGACCCGTCTCCGAGGGTCATTTGCAGATTGTAGTACCGGCTTATGGAGCTGGGGGGAAACGGGGGTAGGATGTGAAAAAAAGAGAAGAAAAATATGGTAAGATAAATGAATGGGAGGAAAGGGGAGACGGGTAGAGGGAGGGGGTAAGGGAATGAATGAGGAAGGAGGAAAGGGGTGCAGAAACTGAGTAGAAAGAGTACATTAAAAAACCCACAGCAGCGGTGAGGGTTGAGCTTTATTTCAAATATTAAACAACGGCCACAAAGAGCCCATTCGTACCTGGCGCCGACAGTGAGGTAGAAGGGCGAGGCATTCCCAATGGTGCCGACCAGCTTTTTGGGATTCGGGCGGCCAGAGTTTCCCGCAGCCATTGCAATAAACACACCAGCCTGAAAGGTCGCGTGGGAGACAGATCACGAGAACGATAAGTGAATTTTATCACTGAAATTTATTTTCCGGAGCCAATGTAACATACCGGTATGAGGAGAATTTGAGGCGAGTTTGGAAGCAACAGTATCTCACTCACCTTTGCAGCATTGAGATACGCGATGTCTGAGAAATAGCTCGGAACGTTCCCTCCCAGGGAGATGGAGAGCACATCCACACCGTCGGATACGGCCGCATCAACGGCTGCGCGGATGTCCGAGTACGTTGCAAGCGTCTGCCCGTCTCTCTGCTTCCAGAGAACTTTGTAGATGGCGAGCCGAGCGCGGGGAGCCATGCCGCTGGTGTTGCCGTATGAATAGCCCGTGCCTGCTGCGTACTGCACATGCCCGTTGCCTGCTGCTGCTCTGAAAGTGGTGAGGAAGGGTGGAGAAGGGTTCGGAGGAGAATTGGAGTGAGGAGAGGAAGGGAGGGGTAGTTCCACTGGTGTTGCCATATGAATAACCCGTGCCTGTCGCATACTGCACACGCCCGTTGCCTGCTGCTGCTCTGCAAGTGGGGCGCGGAGAGAGTGTGGGGAAAAGACGAGGGTGAGTGCAGGAGACCAGAGGAGGATAGGGTAAAGAGGGAGAGAGGAGGGGGAGAGAAGGGGGGTTAAGGGGAGAGCAACGCAACTCGTTCTATGTACTTCCAAGTAATAGCACTCGACCAATCTACTTACCCCGCACACCAAGTGCCAGGACCGTCAGCATCCCAATCCAACATGTAGCCGGCGCTGCTGCTGATATCCCCATGTGATTGTGGCCTACCTTTAGAAAAATCACGAATCAAATTTACTTACCCTGCACACCAAGTGCCATGACCATCCGCGTCGCGAGCCGAAAGGTAGTCGGCGCTGCTGCTGATGGCCCCCACGTTCCTCTTAAAGCCCTTGCTGAAGAACCGCGCTCCAATCACCTTGCGGTTGCACGCGCTGAAATCCGCCCGCCTCTCACACTGGCCTCGCCACCGCCTGGGGGGCCTGCTGTACGGCTTGTAGGCCTGGGAGGGGGGAGGAGGGGAAGAGTGGGGAACTAGAAAAATGGGGGAGAGGAAATAAGCTGGACAGCAATTGACTTTCTCACACCTGCCTCGCCACCGCCTGGGGGGCTGCAGTAGGGCTTGTAGGCCTGGGGGAAGGGGGGGAGAGAGGGGGACGAGGGGAATTGGGGGAAGGAGGTAAGCTCACACCTGCCTCGCCACCGCCTGGGGGGTTGGGGGAAGGGGGTTGGGAAAGAGGGAGTAACTCAGACCACTGTAGACCGTTTCTCACACCTGCCTGGCCACCACCTGGGGGATGCGATGCAGCAAGGGAACAAGGGATGCAGCAACGAATGAAGCAAGCTGCTTACAACAAAAATCACGCGAGCCCCTCAACCATAGTGCCCCTGGAGGATACCCACGGGATCACTGAACGAAGGGTGCTCCGGCCAAATGCCCGTGTCGACAATCCCGATGACCATCCCCTCCCCCGCGCTGTCCTGCCCACCCGTCGCGGGCCACAACGATTCGGGCAGCTTCAAAAACCTCGGCGAATCAGTGGTGAGCTTCGTAAACAAAACATCCGGCTCAATTGCGGCCACTGCGGGATGCTTTTTCAATTTCTTCACTTCCGCTGCTGTAAGCGTCGCCGCGAAACTGTTCGCGGTGAAAGTGGAACTCTGGAAAATATTTTCCTCGGCGATATTCAGGCTCGCGAGAATTCGCCGCTGCGACTGCTCCAGAAATTGCTGAAAGTCCTTAACGGGTTGGGATAGCATATCGGGGATGTTTCGCGGCCGTTGCGACCAGAAATTTAACTCCGCCCGCTGGTCGGCTTTCTGCTTCGCGTCTTTTAACTTATTCACAGCCGCCGTCGCCGCCGACTCGACGCGTTTCAGAATCGCCTTGGCGATTTTCGCGGCGGAATCGACGGCGGCCGCGGCGCTCTCCATCGCGTCGGCGACGGGCCCGTCCTGCGATTTAAGAACCTTGTTCATAACCTCCTTAAAAGCACCGTCGTTAGTGTCGTCGTCGACGCTGTCCTCGTCGTCGTCGCCGTCGTCGGGAATCGCCGTGGCTTTAAAGCCCATTAGCCCCCCGCGATACGTCAGGATTGGAGGAGCGGAGGATAGATGGACAATGTAGGATTTCGTAGCTTGGGAGGCGGCGGAAGCGGATGCGGCGGAGGAGGAGCGGGAGCGACGAACGGACGAGGAGGAGGAGGAGGAAGGAGCAGAGGAGGTAGAGGCGGAGGGAGAGGAAGAGGAAGAGGAAGAGGAAGAGGAAGAGGAAGAGGAAGAGGTTGATACTACTAGCGGGTGGGAAGACGAGGACGGTACGGAAGCAATTGAGACCGACGAAGACGATGGCGTGGAAGAGGAGGATGCTGACGTGTCATCGTCGACGATGTCGGGCACGTCAGCATCCGCGAGCGTGATGACCGTGAGATCGCTGCCGTCGTCATCCCATGCGCCTGCTGAGTCGGCAGAGTCCGTTGCTGTTCGGAATGCGCGGGAGGGGGGAAGTGGGGGGAGGGAGGGGAGGGGAAAGGGGGAGAAGGGGGAAGAGTGTGATGATGATGAGGTCGCTGCCGTCGTCATCTCACGCGCCCGCTCCTCCTGTCTCGGCAGAATCTGCTGCTGCTGCTGGGAAGGTGGGGGGGAGTAGCGGAAGGTGGTGTGGTTGGGAGGCTTGTGAATGGGAGGAGGGGGAAAAGGGGGGGGTTGAAGGGGGAAGAGGGCGGGAGGCACGGGAAGGACGCTCCACCTGTCGTATCCTCTCCCTCTCACTCCACCCCCTCCCCACCTTCCCCCTATCCCTTCCTCCCCAAATACTCCTTCGTGATACCCACCCCCTGATTCTCCTGCCATACCTCTCATGCTCCACTTCCCCTGATACTCCTTCCTGTCCAGGCGAACCCCCTCCCTGTCGGCACAGTAACCTCCCTTCCCCCTCCCCCTCTCCCCCCCCCTCCTCCCCCCCACAGCTACTCTTTACGCTCGTGCGCTGGCATCATCTCCCAAATTCTTTTTTTCGGAAGCATAGCCCGGGCGCACATCTGCGCGCACGCCCGTGCGCCCTTGGGAATCCCCACGCATCCTTGCGCCTCCCTCGCGCAACCCCGCTCATGCTCGCGCACCCTCGCGCATCCCCCTCATCCCGCGCAACCTCGCGCAACGCGCGCAGCCGAGCACTCAAGCATAGCTATGGTGCCTTGGAATTGTGACACGGGAAACACGGCCAGCACGAGCAGCATGACTTTTGAGGGACCTTATAACGCGCCCCACACGCACGCAAGCATACCTATGGTGCCTAGTAGTGACACGGGAAACACGGTCAGCACGAGCAGCACGAGCAGCGGAAGCGACAGCAGCGGCGACCGTCGCGATAAGGAGCATAATAAGCTGCGCGCGCCTCGCCTCCTCTTGCCTCGGCTTAGCTGTCTCCTAAGAACCATTTCCGCGCAAGCTAGTTAATAGGCTCTAACGGCAACAGCGGTCCTAACGGAACCAGAGGGCCTGAAACTAGGTTTCCTGAATAGTATTCGTAACCTGGGCGAAATGTTTTGAACGCGGGGTGACGAATAACGAAGCGGACAGCCTAGGTCGCAACGATTGACAAATTATGCTAGTCAAGCAACGGCGCATTGGGGGAAACGGAATGGCTACTGAATAGAACGGTGCGCGTAAGCCGACGCCGGCAATGGGCCAATTGAATTGCTGCGACCTAGGTGCGAGGAGCGGCGACGCAACAAATGACCCTACTAAAACTGTTGGAAGCCCCCTGCGCCTTTCCAAACGAGGCCCTGTTAGTTTCGCTGGCCGCACAGCAAGTCGGCAGCTTTGTGGCCATAGTAATGCTCTCTAGTCGCAATACTGTTGTGGCAATTCATGATCGCACTCGCGCCTCATCAGAAGTCCATGCCATGCCAATTATTGCTGGGCTATGCGTTTGTTTGGTGCAGTGCAGTTCCCCTCCTGAATCATGGCCAGGCTCCTGAATCCTGACCTGACCTGGAGACGGAGGCGTGTACAGTAATGTATGCTGCAGTTCAGTGCAGGTGACAAAGTCGGTGTGATGGTTTATGTCGGGCTCATTCAAAAGTCCCTACCAAAACTGAAACCCGAATGGAACAGATTGGAGACTCCACGCGTTTTGTGAAACCGCCTTCGGCCTTCCTGCATACAATCCCGTCTCTCGCTACCAGCTTCATGTGTTCCGAGCTTCGTCTGTTGCTCGTTTGGGAGTGCGCCCTCGTTCTCAGGTGGGTGTTAGTGGAAGATGCTGGTTCGGCAGCTGAGGTTTCGTTTTTGTGCAACCGCGCTTCGGTGACACTGAGGGAGGAACCTTGCTTGAACACCTGGGCTGTGGTCTCCATGATTTGAAGTGCAACGCGACAAAACGGGCCTCCACATCCTTGCGGTAATGGTTCAGACCAGACCGAAGACTCAGTACACCTGATGCTCACCCCATGCGCGCGAATTTGCCTTGCGCCGGATGGATACGCTGCACCCGAGGTTGTTTCCCCAGCTTCATGCACCTACATTACAAGCGCGTCAAGCAGAAGAGACCGAAGTCAAGCAGAAGAGACTGAAGTCAAACAAGGTAACTAGGTAGCAGGGTCTTGTTTATAAGCACATGCGAATTCTTTTTAGCTAGCTGCGAATTGACGAACTTAAGCGAACTGCCTTGTTACAGCTTATACGCCCCCTTCACAAGGCAACCGGGAGGGGCTCAAACAGGCATCATGTGTACGGTGCAACCAGTTCATGTAAAAAAGATGTAAACACTCCTTTTGTACAAAGCCTCTTCATACTTCTTTGCCACCCCAATCAATATATAAAAATATTCAGAATTGACAATATCATTTTATTCTGATGTGCTGATATGGATCCTTCAAGGCCCTCATGGATCTTTTATCACCTCAAAAACTATAATATGCATCAAAATCTTATCAGTCCATGATTATTTCCGCCAACTCGTTTCCCTGTTTGTGACTGTCATAAGAATACTGGTTCCAAATGCATGCTGTTCGATTCTACTACCCCTGGGTGAGTGCAGAGTGCAGCGCATCATAGCGGGTACATTCTGGTCAATCTCCCTGCCGAAAAGTGCGGAGGGCTTATGTCTCCTATCCAAGTAGCCCGCCCGTTTTTTTATCACTGACTCCTGTTTTGCTTGTTTCTTCCGCAGTGGTTTGCTTTGCCACCTGTTCTTCTGTTCCTCTGTTCTTCTGTTCCTGCACCTGTCAGGGAGCCCCCATTTGCCGCAGTCTGTTTATAAGCGTAACTCTAGCCGTTACCCTTCGCCGAATTAGTTCGCGAACATGAAAAGAGCGCGGCGGGAAACGTCATTCAAGGATGATGCGAAAGGCAGTCGCCTGCTGTCGCTCCCGGACGACATCCTTCTGTTGCTTCTCGCCCTTGCGACCCACCCCTGCGATCGCCGCAGCGTCGCTCTCTCCTGTTCGCGCCTCCACCGCCTCTCGCGTCGCACGCCCCACTCGCTCCATTTCGTCTTCATCGCACCCTTCAAGTGCCCCAACGCGCGCAGGCGGCTCAAAGATTTCGACGACTTTTCGAGGGTATTTACCCGAATAATTTCGCTAACCGTGGAGGTTCGTTCGAGCCAGGGAAGTGACCTGCTGGCGAGTATCGGTGCGGGCTGCCCGAAACTGGAATCTCTGAAGCTTGTCGTGACGTGGGGGGGGGTTTATATGAACGCTGCCGCGTGGACGAAGCTTGCAAGACAATGCCCATGAGCAAGCTGATTATCTCCTCCTTGATTTGATTTTTTACTCCTCTCGTCCTTATATTCAGTCACACGAGTGCCCATTGTAAGAACGCCGCTGCGTGGCTGATTGAAGCTCGCGAAGCAATGCCCGTGAGTGTGCTGATGCTCTCTTCCCCGCATTTGACTCTCGACCCATCTCGTCCATTTTTGGTGCGTCTCAAAACTCGGTTTTTGAGAAGTCTCAAAACCCGTGAGTGTGCTGATGCTCTCTTCCCCGCATTTGATGCTTGACCCATCTCGTCCACTCAACACCTCTCACATCCCTCACCCTCCCGTCCATGCCTTCCCTGCTACCCCCCTCCATTTTCAGCCTCTTGATGTCTCTCGAGCTCGACTCCCCATTCGCCCGTCGTCCCATCATCAGCTTCCAATCGAATCACACCCCGTTCCAATTTTTTTCATGCCGTCCCTTCCCCCCCTCCCCCCACCCCCCCCCCCCCCCCCCCCCACCCCTTCCTCCCGCCCTTCCTTTCAGCCTCCTGACATCTTTCGAGCTCGATTCTCCATTTGCCCGTCGCCCCATCATCTGCTTCCACCGTACTCACGCTCTCCTCCCTTCTTTTCATGCCTTCCTTTCTCTCCCTCCCCTCCTTTCAGCCTCCAGACGTCTCTCGAGCTCGACTCGCCATTTGCCCATCGCCCCATCATCTGCTTCCACCATACTCACGCGCCCCTCCCTCCCGTCCACCTCTTCCCCGCTCTCCACTCACTCTCTCTCCTCATCCATGCCTCAAAACTCACCCCCCTCACTCGCGCCTCCTCCCTCACCTCCCTCACTCTCTGGAACCCCGCTCCCTCCACCCTCTCCTCCCTCGCCGCCTCCTCCTCCTCTCTCCGCCTCTCCCTCAAATCCCTCTCCCTCCACTCCGCAAAGCTAGAGTCCTGCCTCTCACCCCTCCGCCGCTTCCCCGCCCTCGCCTCTCTCTCCTTCCTCTCCTGCTCCATCAATCCCTATGAGCTTCACACTCTCTCTCGCTCCCTCCACACTCTCACCCACCTTACCATCCACGACTGTCCCTTAGTCTCTAGCCATTCTCTAGCCGCTCTGGTTCAGGCCAACCCTGCTCTCTCCTCTCTCTCCCTCCACGGCACCTCCTACCGTCTCTTCAGTGCGCAGGGTTTCCGCTCACTCCTCCACCTCTCCGCACCCCGCTTGAACGCACTTGACCTCTCTGGGCTGCCGTCCTTTCGCCCCGGCATGCTTGCTCACTGCAGCGGCCTTCATTCCCTCTCCTTGGTAGGAAAGCCGGAAACAATCTCTGTGCAAAGGGAGAGAGGTGGTGAGACCGGGGCAGGGGACGGGAGGGGTGGAGGAGGGAGGGAGGGAGAGGGGGGTGAGAGGGGTGAAGAAGGGAGGGAGGGAGAGGGGGATGTGGAGGAAAGGGTGGTGCTTCAGCAAGTGTCGTTTGAGAGTCTTGTGGGTATGCTGGTGCGCATGGTGCAGAGGGGTGGAGAGGGAGGAGAGGGAGGAGAGGGAGGAGAGGGAGGAGAGGGAGGAGATTGTTCGAACGACGTTCGAACGACGGCACCACCAGGGGAGATTGTTGGAACTTGTGACTCTAGGAACAAGGGAGGGAGAAAGGAATATGTGGACATTCGAACGACGGCAGCGGCAGCAAGAGCAGACCTGGTGGCAGCAGGTACAGACATATCCAATCTCTTTGAAGCAACAAGCAAGGCCTTCACAACCGCCCCTGATTCTGCCCGGTGGGCCCGCACGGCCCGCCCTGAATACGCCCTAGCGGAGATCAAATCCGCTTCGAACAAAATCAGATCTGCAATTTCGATGTGCAAGGCGCTGCGGGTGGCGGTTTCTGAGCAAGATGCGGCGACTGCGAGAGAGGATGGGGTGATAGACACGTTTGTTGCTGCCAGGACTGCGGGCGTGTTTGTGGAAAGGGCTAGTATGGAAGGGGAGGGCGAAGGGGGAGGTAGAATGGCTCGGCTGGAAGACTTTGATGGAATACTGCCTAATGAAGACTCGCTCAGTGATGGTTCTGACAGTGCTTTTGGTGCTGATGCTGCTGATGGTGCTGAAGGGAGTGACGGTGAGGGCGAGAGTGGGAGTGAACTTGGAGGTGTTGCAGGTGCGGCTGACGCACGGATGCAGGCTTTAAGTGCGATGGAGTCGCTGCTGCAGCAGTTTAATGAGCAGTTGAGTGTGGCCCTGGCGAGTGTCAGAGCCATGCGCCATCCCCGTCGGACTAGTAACGGCCGCCTTGCTGCTGCTGATGGTGCTGCTGCTGCTGCTGCTGCTGCTGCTGCTGCTGCTGCTGCTGCTGCTGCTGCTGCTGCTGCTGCTGCTGCTGATGGTGGTGGTGGTGATGATGCTGGTGCTGCTGTTGTTGCTGCTGCTGGTGCTTCTGCTACTGCTGCTGATGGTTGTGGTGCTGGTGGTGCTGGTGCTGGTGCTGGTGGTGGTGCTGGTGCTGGTGCTGCTGATGCTAGTGCGGGTGCTCCTTCTGCTGTTGGTGCTGCTGCTGATGGTGGTGGTGGTGGTGGTGGTGCTACTGGTGGTGGTGCTGGTGGTGCTGCTGCTGGTGGTGCTTCTGCTGCTGATGCTGATGGTTGTGGTGCTGGTGGTGCTGGTGCTGGTGCTGGTGGTGCTGCTGCTGCTGGTGCTGTTGATGCTACTGCTGGTGCTGCTTCTGCTGCTGGTGCTGCTGCCGGTGCTGCTGCTGATGGTGGTGGTGCTGCTGCTGCTGCTGCTGCTGCTGCTGCTGCTGCTGCTGCTGCTGCTGCTGCTGCTGCTGCTGGTGCTGGTGATGCTGCTGATGGTGCTACTGGTGCTGGTGATGGTGCTGCTGCTGCTGCTGCTGGTGCTGCTGGCAGCAGGCAAAATGGCACCTCAAAACCAGTCAGCAACAGCAGAGCTGCACGGGTCAGCGGAAGCATGACAGGCAAATCAAGTGGCAGCGGCACCACCAAAAGGGGCATTTCTGGAATTCCTGTGGAGGTTATCTGTCCTCCCTTACAATCCTTAACCCTCCGGGACTTTCAGTTCACCCGAACCATTCCCGAGCCTGCCTGGCTGCCTCTATCCCTTCCCTCTGCCTCGCCTCTCATGTGCCTCGTGGATTCCCATGGATCCCGTCATGCACCCACCTTGCCACTTCCCTCAACTCCCTCTTCCTCCCGCTCCTCTTCTCGCTTCTCTCCTGCTGCCGTGTCAACCGTTTCAAGCCTGAGCGCTCAGCCGCAGTCCTTTGAATTTTTGGCACTAGCTGCTGTTTTCTGCCGGCTGAAGCGCCTCTCTCTGGTGTCGTGCTTCTGTCTGAAGGAGGAGCAGCTGGTGCTGCTGCTGCGTGCCTGCCCCGTGCTCGTGGCTTTAACTGTCCAACACAATGAGGACTTTTCGGATCGGGTGGTGGCGAGAAGCAAGTTGCATATGCTCACAGATTTGACTATGCTTGAGTGTGATGCGATCACTGGCGAGGGGGTTGGAGGGCTGCTGGGAAGCTTCCCGAAGTTGCGTGAGTTGAAGGTGGAGGCAAGAAAAGTTGGTGAAAGGGCGCGCAGGGAGTTGCTTCGTGCGGATGTGGTTCTGAGCCATGGGTGATAAAGCACCTTCGCTCATGCCTTTGCTCATGCCTTTGCTCATGCCTTCGCTCATGCCTTTGCTCATACTTTGTACTCGTTTGCCAACTTATTAGTGCAATCCTCGCTACATCTATACCACATCGCACCTGTAACAAAAGTCACAACAAATCCAGCATTTGCTATACCATCTAGCGACAAAAGGGGTGCGGGCGCCCTTGGCGCGGACAATACTCGTTAGATTCATCCTGCTAATATAAAGTATGTTTGGGCGTGCCTGGTCCGTTGGACCAACCCTTGGTCGGCGAAGCAGTAGCTAGCAGGCAGGCACCGGAGTCACAAGTTTCCCGTAGTTGCCTCATCCTTCCTACCTTTGGTTGGGTCACAAAGTCCAACCAACCTTCCTACCTTTGGTTTGTCACTACGTCCAACCATCCTTCCTACCTTTGGTTTGTCACTACGTCCAACCATCCTTCCTACCTTTGGTTTGTCACTACGTCCAACCATCCTTCCTACCTTTGGTTTGTCACTACGTCCAACCATCCTTCCTACCTTTGGTTTGTCACTACGTCCAACCATCCTTCCTACCTTTGGTTTGTCACTACGTCCAACCTGTTGGAAACAATGGAACTTAAACGCTTCAGCAGTGTCGAAACATTGCACCAGAAGCGAGGCAAACTACACCGAAGCACCTGCGAGTCAACCCTCGGAGGTTGAATCAGCTGCTGGAAGTTACGCGAAAGTCAAAGGTCGCTGACCCTTGACCTGACAAGTACAGCGCGACAGTTAAGGACACACAACTGACTCGTTACAGAGCAGTTGCCCGAGTCGCACTGTATCGAACCGCAACAGCAACAGTAAAAACAGTTATAACTGTATCTCTTCATATTCCTTGTATTATTATATATACTTGTATCTCTTTACTATAATCAATCTACTTTGCTCTCACACACCAGTGCAAGGTCGGTTCACAAAAACTTCATTAAAACGCTTCCGCTATTACAAAGTATCCTACTTAGAGTTATCCTCTGCAAAGATCCTTAAGGGCTTTTCAGCCCAACATGGTATCAGAGCCTTACAGGGGAAACTCTATCTTCTCAAAGTCATTACAAGATATGGCAACAAACAAGGAAAGGAGCTCCTCTAATGGCTCCACGGGCACTACTCCTACTCCACCTCCAGCCTCTGGCCTGCAGACAGAGGAAGGCACGGCAGCAAGACCAAGGGGAACGTCAACTGAGACCCCCACGAACCACCCTTCGGACTTTGATCAGAGCATGATGGAGAAGTTTTTCTCCTTCATGTCCTTCTACGAACAACACCAACAGTCGGGACCTGCACAGACACACAACAGCAACAACGGAGCGACACCCATGAGCCTTGACGTGTCGTCATATGCGCGGGGAAATCAACAGCAGCAACCCACCTTCGCCCCGTACGAGCGCGGGTCGATCAGCTTCCTGCCTCAACCACCACCTGCGCAAGACAAACCAATGGACGCGTTACAAGTTCAGTCGCAATTTGCGCATGTCTTGAAATTGCAAACATCAAGACCTTTCGACGGAAAGGACTTCTTCATCTGGTCCTTTGAATTCGAGCTGATGATGGAGGGCGCGCAGATACTCGGTTTCTTCGACGGATCCCTGCAGTATCCAGCAAGCGGCACACAGTATGAGAAGCAGCAGTATACGTATCAATCGATGATGACGTATACTATTCTACTGAGAAACATCACACCAACTCAGCAGCAGAACATTCGCTCTTACCGGACCTTCGGCAACTCGGCGGAACTCGCGTACGGCCATCTGAAGAACCTGTACCAAGCAACAGACAGTGTAAACCAGAGCAGGTTAATGGCGCAGCTGACAACAGTTGAAATAAAACCAGGAGAAAAGGGGTTGGCGTATATCAGCCGATGTCGCGAACTGCGCGACAAGCTTCTTCGATGCGGAGGATCAATCTCTGAAGACGCCTTCGTGACAGTCATCATCGGTGGCCTCGGTCCTCAGTGGCGCGCCACCAAAGCAATTCTTCGAGCCCACGGAAGAATTTCAGAAGCAACACTCTGCGCCGAAATACACGCCGAGCAGCAGGACATGGATCTGCAAGAAGAACGACACAAAAGAAAGACGACAACGTCAGAATTCGCTTTCCATACTCAGCGACGACACAACAACTACAACAACCGACAGCAGCAGCCGAAGCCAGTACCTCCGTTTTGTCACATCTGCAAGACCTCAGGGCACCCACGCACGCACTGCCCGAATCGACAACAGTTAACTGCCCCGCAGCGACAACTGCGACCTTCAAGCAGTCAAGTGACTTCAACACAGGCGAACCCGACGACTCAGGTTCAAGCCTCAATTTCACCGGGACAACCTGCACAAGGAGCAAGAAACATCATCAGCTGCATGGCAAGACTGAGCGAATCCTGCATCACCGATTCACCGCCACATTACTCACCAGAAGAACATCTCGACAACACCACACCTCGCCGCGAAGCACTCGAACCAAATCCAACGTACGCCGCCATCGCCCAAAGCGAGCCTTCAGGGACAGACACGTGGTTCTTGGACAGCTGTTGCGGACAGCACATGTGTTCTTCATGATGCTTCGTACAACAAGAATACCAGCTTCAACGGGAAGTCGTCATCACCGTCGCCAACAACCAGAACCTGCGCACACGACGGCAAGGAATCGTACAACTTCAGTCACGAGAGACAAACGTCATACTACAGATGTCCAAAGTTTTAATTTCAGAAGGCCTCGGCTACAACTTACTGAGCGTCAGTCAGCTGATGGCGAAGGGTATTCACCTCGAAGCAGACAGCACCATCCAGGAGTTCAAGTTGTACCACGGGAGAGGAGGTCTCTACATCGGGAAGGCGGTCCTCAAGAACAGCGTCTTCGTCTTGGACTTCGTTCCCGATCTCGGCACCGCTGACAGTGACGCCATAGTTAACTTCACCAACTGGACACACCCTCCGGACCTTGACCCTGACTTCAGTCCGGGCGGCTTCTGGTATTCGCATACCATCCCTGAGACAGAGCGAACAAGGGCATTAGCAACAATTCAACGGTCAGCAGCAGCAGAGACAACATCGGGAGCAGCAGGAACAACATCGGCAGCAGCAGAGACAACATCGGGAGCAGCAGGAACAACATCGGCAGCAGCAGAGACAACATCGGCGGCAGCAGGAGCAACATCGGGAGCAGCAGAGACAACAACGGCACCAACAACAACACCAGTCGCTGGTCCTTCAACGGCACCAGTCCTCGTTGACGACGCATCACCGACACCTGCACAACAGTTTCAGCCAGCACCACGAGAGTTTCATCACAACCCCAACTTCACCGCCAGCTTCTACTCCAACTCGGATCTGTACCGACGATCACCCGGACACCGTGCCGACGAAGCAACCTGGCACGCAAGAATGGGACATCCAAGCAACACAGTGTTAAACAACACAATACGAGCAGGAGTGCTCGACAAGGACTCACTCCTATTAACCGACGGACGAGAACTCCAACGCGTACGCGGCACATGCTTCACCTGCCCAGAAGGCGACCTACCTCATCAACCGTTCCCATCGCACCACAACCCAAGTGCACCAGCTTACACGCCACTCGAAAAGGTGTACAGCGACATCCTGTACAACCGCGAACCAGGGCAGAATACGTACCTCTACACGATTACCTTCATCGACGCCGCAACACGCTACGTCTGGCACCTGAACCTCCCAAGCAAAGATATGGCGTTCGAGGCGTTCGTCGCGTGGCTTCCTGTAGCAGAGCGGGAATCGGGCGTCAAGTTAAAGAGCTTCCAAACAGACGGAGGAGGAGAATACACCTCAACGAGGTTCAAGAACTACCTAGCTGAGAAAGGCATCAAGCGACTCATCTCCCTTCCTTACGCCCATCAACAACAGGGTGTAGCAGAAAGGCTGAACAGGACCCTCCAGAACACCATGCGGAAACTGTTACGTGGCATGCGGCTTCCCAACCACCAGTGGCCAGAAGCGATGGACCACGCTGTAATGCTGCACAACTTGCTCTCCTCGTCGTCACTCCCGAACAACGCATCACCGCATCTGCTGTGGACAGGGAAATTGGGCAACACAAAAATGTTACGAATTTTTGGGTGCATGGTACAGTACCGACCACCATCTGCACGAGCTGGCCGATTTTCGCAACGAGCACAGTGGGGGCTACACCTGGGCATCGAAAAACACTACAACGCATGGAAAATTTTCGACGTCCACACGAAAGAAATAGTGGCAGCACGAGACATCATCTTCTACGAACGACTCACCATGCAGACTTATCTTGCCAACCTGGACGAGAACCGAGACCCCACAGGCGGCTTCCGTGGCAACCGAGCCTTCGCATCGGCAGAAGACGAAGCTGACTGGGACAAGCAGAACGTGGAAGGAGCCTTGGAAGCAGCCGGACCACTCCCGTACTGCTCAGTCAACGTCCCCATGGACGACGAAAACCCGCGCGACAGTAACAACACCGAAATCTTCTACCACTTCGCCGACAACGGTTACGTAACACCTGCAAGAGTCAACACCGACGAAGCTGAACGCATAGGACCAAATTTCATACCTGATTCAGAAGAGGGAGACGAAGCAGCTTATCCCGAGGACAACACTCTCCCCGGCACACTCCCCCGCTACACACAGAGTGGCCTCCAAATCCTTGGACTCGTCACCGCAGTCCATGGCGCCGCCATCCCTAAAGAGCCTGCGACAGTTCAACAGGCTCTGGGGGGGGAACATAGGGAGAAATGGCGTGAAGCCATGGACAAAGAGCTGAAGGCACTGGAGGAGCGCAACACCTGGAAAATCGTTCCCATCGGCGTAGCACAAAACAAGACTATCCTTACCGGGAAATGGGTCTTCCGTGTGAAGACGAAAGCTGACGGCACCATCGACAAATTCAAAGCTCGCTGGGTCGTGCGCGGCTTTGACCAGGAACACAAAAGAGACTACACCGAAACCTTCGCTCCGGTCAGCCGCCACACCTCACTCCGAATCCTCATCGCCATCGCCGCCATGAAGAAAAAGAAACTGCGACAAATCGACGTCGCAAACGCATTTCTCTACGCACCTGTGGATGCAGAAATCTTCATCGAGCTCCCGCACGGCTCCCACGGTGAACCCAACCAAGTCTGTCAACTGCTTAAGTCGCTCTACGGGATCAAGCAGGCACCGCGACTGTGGCAGCAGTACCTGCACGCTCGCCTTATCCGCATCGGTTTTAAACAACTCCCGCATGACCAGGGCATGTACCGCCTCACAAAGGGAAGCGACTACGTTTTACTAATCGTCTACGTGGACGATCTCCTCTACATCGGGTCAACCGACGGCATCGCCACGTGGTTCGAAGGGGAGCTACAGAAGGATCTTACTCTCACCGTCTCATCTACCGTCACGCAATACCTCGGACTCAACATTCGAGAAGGGGAGGACGCGATCTACCTCAGCGCCGAAAAGTACGCCGACACCATCGCGAAACGCTTCGGTCTCACACCAAGCGCCCTCTCCACGCCTTACCGCTACACGTCAGGAACCGAAAAGGAACGATCTACGCTACTCAAGCCCGCCGGCATACGCGACTATCAGAAGAAGCTCGGATGTCTTCAATTCGCAGCAGTCACCTGCCGTCCTGACTTATCCTACTCCGCGAGCCAGCTCGCCACCTATCTCAAGAAGCCTGAAGCAGAGCATCTGGCGGAACTCGATCGCGCTCTCCACTACTTCGTCAGCACCGCGACGATCGGACTAACTTATCACAAAAACGCTACTACACCGACCAAGCTAATCGGCTACGTCGATGCCGATCACGCCGGCGACACCGACAACAGGCGCTCACGCACCGGCTATGTCTATCGCCTCGAGCCTATCGGTCCTATCTCCTGGCAGTCGAGTAAACAGGAGTTAATCGCACTATCTTCAGCTGAAGCAGAATATATCGCACTCTGCTCAGCCACCAAGGAGGGACTTTACCTTCGCGAGCTGCTGGAAGAAGCGAAGTTAGCCGAGTTACCCAACTTCACCGTGTTCTGCGACAACCAGTCAGCAATTCGCATCGCCAACAAGAACGGCTTCGCGAACAGGACGAAACACATCGCCCTACGCTATTTCTTCGTGAAGGACGAAATCGAGAAGGGGAGACTCGAACTGTCATACTGTCCCACGTCTGAGATGGCAACCGACTACTTGACCAAGAAGCTCGGAAAGCAGAAGTTCGAATACTGCATGCTGCTGACTGGACAGAGCCATGTCACCAGCAGCGACACTCCAGAAGCGAAGGGGAGTGTTGGAAACAATGGAACTTAAACGCTTCAGCAGTGTCGAAACATTACACCAGAAGCGAGGCAAACTACACCGAAGCACCTGCGAGTCAACCCTCGGAGGTTGAATCAGCTGCTGGAAGTTACGCGAAAGTCAAAGGTCGCTGACCCTTGACCTGACAAGTACAGCGCGACAGTTAAGGACACACAACTGACTCGTTACAGAGCAGTTGCCCGAGTCGCACTGTATCGAACCGCAACAGCAACAGTAAAAGCAGTTATAACTGTATCTCTTCATATTCCCTGCATTATTATACATGTATCTCTTTACTATAATCAATCTACTTTGCTCTCACACACCAGTGCAAGGCCGGTTCACAAAAACTTCATTAAAACGCTTCCGCTATTACAAAGTATCCTACTTAGAGTTATCCTCTGCAAAGATCCTTAAGGGCTTTTCAGCCCAACACAACCATCCTTCCTACCTTTGGTTTTGTCACTAAGTCCAACCAACCTTCCTACCTTTGGTTTGTCACTAAATCCGTCCAACCTTCCTACCTTTGAAACTTGTGGACCCTGAGTTTCAACACCAGCTAGCAGGCGCCAGTACTACCCCGTAGCTAAACATTTTGCAACATGGTGTTGAGGGCTGATGCCTCCCCGATACTGTAGCATGCCATCCAAGCAGCGTTTAGCTTAGAGCGTGTAACTTTTTTCCGAACCGTGTGGTCCGGACGGCATGTGAATAGGGTATCCTGCCCATGGTCCGGACCGTCCGAGCTCGTTATCGAATTGGAGAACGTGCGAGCTTTGACGAAACATTTCGTACGTGGTCCGGACCATCGGTTCGGAAAAAAGTTACACGCTCTTATTCCTCAGTGCAGGGACCGCTCGCCGCAAGCGCGCAACAGCATGATGGAGGCACGATTTGAAGAAAATTACTGTACCAAAACCCAGCCGACCGGATATACTATTATAATAATGATACAGAATTATTCAACAACACGTGTCGCGATAACACGTTCCAGATTCTGACAGAAGCAGCCTACGATGAAGCGCTGTGTGCGGTCCAACTGTGGTTGCCGGAACTCCATAAGGAATGCCACTCCCAACGCTGTACCATTTCTTGTCAGTTTCGGTTTCTGTCCAACTTTATTCAGGAGCTCATCTGTCGTCGCTGGCGTGTTGGGGAATCAGATCACGCTGTCCCATTTCTGCTATCGCCCTAACATTATAGCCCTCCGGCTATAATCATCACTTCCCCATCCCCGCCCAGCCTTTGCGCGTCCATCCGAGGAAAGCCTCGGCCGTGAATCGCCCGGGGTGAACAATCGTCTGCGGGGACACCCAGCTGGCACGCGGCATGCGCGCTCCGGGCCCCGTGCTCTGGAACTCGGCGAGATAGACGCCGTTCTTCCGGGCGAGCCTCACGGTGTCAGTATCCCACGTCGTCCACCCATCGGGTTGGATTTCTTGGGAGCGCGGGAGGGAAGGGAAGAGAGGGGATGGGGTGATGAGGTGGGGCTTGGTGGAAACACCTGAGTAGGTCTCTAAAACTTCACGGTGTCAGTATCCCACTTGATCCATCCTTCCGGTTTGATTTCCTGGGAGCGCGGGAGGGAAGGGAAGAGAGGGGATGGGGTGATGAGGTGGGCTTGGTGGAAACACCTGAGTAGGTCTCTAAAACTTCACGGTGTCAGTATCCCACTTGATCCATCCTTCCGGTTTGATTTCCTGGGAGCGCGGGAGGGAAGGGAAGAGAGGGGATGGGGTGATGAGGTGGGCTTGGTGCAAACACCTGAGTAGGTCTCTAAAACTTCACGGTGTGAGTATCCCACGTGATCCATCCTTCCGATTTGATTTCCTGGAAGCGGGGGAGGGAAGGGAAGAGAGGGGATGGGGTGATGAGGTGGGCTTGGTGGAAACACCTGAGTAGGTCTCTAAAACTTCACAGTGTCAGTATCCCACGTGATCCATCCTTCCAGTTTGATTTCCTGGGAGCGGGGGAGGGAAGGGAAGAGAGGGGATGGGGTGACGAGGTGGGGCTTGGTGGAAACACCTGAGTAGGTCTCTAAAACTTCACGGTGTCAGTATCCCACGTGATCCATCCTTCCGGTTTGATTTCCTGGGAGCGCGGGAGGGAAGGGAAGAGAGGGGATGGGGTGATGAGGTAGGCTTGGTGGAAACACCTGAGTAGGTCTCTAAAACTTCACGGTGTGAGTATCCCACGTGATCCATCCTTCCGGTTTGATTTCCTGGGAGCGGGGGAGGGAAGGGGGAGCACAGAGAGGGGGGGGAAGGAGGGGAGCGCAAGGGGGGGGGCTGGGAGGAGATGTGAGCAGGTGGGGCAAACCCGGGGGAAGGGAGAAGGGGGGGGACGGGTTGGGGGGGGGGGAAGCAGGGGGTATTGAAGTTTCATGGTGTCAATGTCCCACGTGATCCACCTGTCTGGTTGCGTGAAGCGAGGTTGGTGTCCACCTCGCTTCACCTTGCGTGAAGTGATGCACCTCGCTTTTCATGGTGTCAGTGCCCCACGTGATCCACCTGTCTGGTTGCGTGAAGCGAGGTTGGTGTCCACCTCGCTTCACCTTGCGTGAAGTGATGCACCTCGCTTTTCATGGTGTCAGTGCCCCACGTGATCCACCTGTCTGGTCGGATTTCCTGGCAGGGGAGGGGAAGGGGGGAGAGCAGGGGGAAACAGGGGAGGGGGAGAGCAGGGGGAGAAATTGGGGGAGCGGGGGGGAGTGAAGCTTCACGGTGTATGTGCCCCACGTGATCCACCCGTCTGGTTGGATCTCCTGGGAGAGGGGAGGATGGGCGGATAGCAGGGCGGAAAGGGGGAAAGAGCAGGGGGGGAACGGGGGGAAGAGAAGAGGGGGAAACTCGGGGGGGGGGGGGGGGGGGGGGGGGGGGGGGGGTTGGGGGGGGTTGGATGAAGAAGATTCACAGTGAGCGCGTCTCACGTCAATCATCCACCTGTTCGGTTGGATTCTCCTGCAAGGTGGGAGAAGGGGGGGATAGCAGGGCGGAAAAGGGGGAAGAGCAAAGGGGGAACGGGGGGAAGAGAAGAGGGGGAAACCCGGGGGGGAAGGGGGGTTTGGGGGGGGTTGGATGAAGAAGATTCACAGTGAGCGCGTCTCACGTCAATCGAGCCTCATTTGGAGGCCATGGTGCAATACGTGGCAGCAATTGATTGAGAGTGACACCGGAGTAGGTGAAAGAAGACTCACAGTGAGCGCGTCTCACGTCAATCATCCACCTGTTCGGTTGGATTCTTCTGCAAGGTGGGAGAAGGGGGGGATAGCAGGGCGGAAAAGGGGGAAGAGCAAGGGGGGAAACGAGGGGGGCTTTGGACGAAGAAGACTCACGGTGAGCATCCCACCCACGTCAATCATCCACCCGTCCGGTTGGGTTCTCCTTCAGGGTGGGATGGAGGGTGTTTTGAGGCGCCTCAAAATCCGGTGATTATCATGGCAGGGAAGGTGGCGGGGTGAGGGTGAGAGGGGGTACTGTGCTGTGCGGGTAGAGCGTGTCCTGGTTGCCGTCTAACTCACACTCGAAGAATGCTGAGAGGTCTTCTGAGCGCAGGGCTATTGCTTGCTGGCCCAGTGTCCCGGCCGTGTTGCGCACTGTTATTCCGAGGGCCGTAAACCTGCCTTTGTTGGCACCTGGAGTGGGGGACAAGAAGAGAGTGCTTGAGAGAGAGAGCGAAAGGAGGTGAGGGGGCTGGGAGTGAGAGCTAGTGGCTTTTGAGTCGACTCAAAATTCACCTCGAGAGAAAGGAGGTGAGGGAGCTGGGAGTGAGAGCTAGTGGCTTTTGAGTCGACTCAAAAGTCACCTCGAGAGAAAGGAGGTGAGGGGGCTGGGAGTGAGAGCTAGTGGTAGACCGTGTCCTGGTTGCCGTCAAACTCGCACTCGAAGAATGCTGAGAGGTCTTCTGAGCGCAGGGCCACCGCCTGCTAACCCACTGGGCCTGCTGTGTTGCACACGGTGATTCCAAGGGCTGTAAACATGCCCTTGTTGGCTCCTGCAGTGGGGGAGAGAAAGGAGGGAGCGCAGGGCCACCGCCTGCTGACCCACTGGGCCTGCTTTGTTGCGGACGGTGATGCCCAGGGCAGTAAACATGCCCTTGTTGCGCCTGGGGGGTGGGGGAAAGAGAGAAAGAGAGAGAGAGAAAGCGTGTCTTCAGAGCGCAGAGCCACTGCCTGCTGACCCACCATTCCGGCTGTGTTGTGGACTGTTATGCCCAGGGCCGTAAACACGCCCTTGTTTGCGCCTGGGAGGGGGGAGAGGGAGTGAGGCAGAGTGAGGGAGAGAGAGGAGGGAGCGCAGAGCCAGTGCCTGCTGGCCCACTGTCCCGGCTGTGTTGCGGACTGTTATGCCGAGGGCCGTAAACGTGCTCTTGTTGGCGCCTGCGGTTGGGGGGGGTGGGGGTTGTGTCAGAATGTTATATTCACTAGCCTGTAGTGGGGTGCTCTATAGCGAGTACAACCCATCTAGGGTTTGCTATATGTATCCTCATTGCTGCTAGTGAAAACCTCTTTTCTTTCTTCTAAACTTTTACAGGTTGGGGTAGCAAGGGAGCAAGAGAGCAAGAGAGCACGCGAGAGAGAAGGGGCTGTCAGCATAAACGTGGCTCGGGGGGGTAAGGGAGAATGGGAGAGAGAGAGGAGAGCATTCGGAAGTGAGGGGGGAGGGAGTGAGGCGAGATGGAGAGAGAGGGAGACTGCTTACCAATGGTAGCAGAGTTGAAGGTGGTGGATCCGCCAACCACATTTTTGTTGTTAGTGATGATGGTCTTGCCCATTCCCTCTCCCACCAGAACAATCCCCTGGTTGTCGAAGAGTATCTGCTCCACATAAACTCCTTTCTTGATGAATATAACGAAAGTGCCCTTCATTGGTGCGGAAGCAATCGCCGCCTGCGTTCATGCAACAAGGACAAAAAAAAAAAACGATTCTGTCGTAAGTTGTGAATAAAGCGGATGTCAAGCATCGTTTGAACGTGCAATCGAAGAATCCAAAAACGAGACGATTAGCCCTGTGCAAAATCAAGCATCCTGAGCGTCTTGTGTGTGCCAGAGCCGTCCGTAGCGACGATTGCATTCACCAGTTGTGTTCGTCCGCTCTTACCATAGTACCCGCTAGCTTTCACACCACCCTGTGTCCGTCAATTCTCACCGCTAGCCGTCCCGCCACCCTTACTTTGAGCGTCCTGTGCGTGCCGGAGCCGTCCTTAGCAACGATAGCATTTATCCGGGGCGACAGCAGGCTGCTGTACGCGCCGCCACTGAAGCCGCTCGTATCCAAAACCCCCCCCACTTTTACTCCGCCGAGTTTTCTCAACTTCCCGTTGCTGTTGCTTTGAAGTCCCCTTTGAAGCGTGTCGCTAGATTCGTACGAATCAGCGGCGTCCCCGCTAGAAGTAGAATCCACGTTGTCACTCTGCGCCCCTGCTTCAACCGCGTCGTCCCCTGTCTCTGCACCGTGCAGGTCAAGAAGTCTCCGCGCGCCCGGCGCGTCCCCCGCGTCTCCCCTGCGCATGTGCGCCGCCTGAATGCGCTTCAAGTGCTCGAACATCCCCGGAGTTACCCACCTAGGCTCGCCGCTGTCACTCGATTGGTCTGTTTTCGCTACTCTCTGGCGGCGATCACCTCGAGGTGGGGAATCGTAGTCGTACCCGTAACCGTCGGCGGAAGACATCGCGGAAAAGTTAGGTGCGCATTTTTCCTGTGAGTGGGTTATTCTACGGAAAACCATACAAAATGTGCCAGCGAGTCCCCACAATGTCCCAAAACACCTGTGACGCAAATGTCACATGTGGGCTCAACCCCTCAGGCGCGAAACGGCCTCAGAAAATTCGAGCCGCACATTTGGCCTCGCGACGCGCACCTTGCCTCGAATCGCACATTTGGCGCTCGCGCATCATTGTGCACTGCGAAAGCAACGCAGTCAAGCTCGCGACACACCAAATGCACATCCACAAACATTTTCTGCTTCAAGCTAGCAGCCACTATATACACCACGTAGACATGTCTCACTATGCTATAAGGGCTGCACATCAACCCTGTCAAACCACGCTTACGGAAATAAAATAGACTGTTTAATCGGCCACTTTGTGTGGCACCTGTAATGGCGTCAATTGCGTCCATACCAGAGCACATGGCCACATGAACCATACATGTCACGGCAAAAATAACCCACCACACTCATTCCGTCAGCAGGAACTTTTTCAGGAGCATGACACGCCTGTTCACATAGGACTTGCACACGTGCACCACTCTCTGGATGCACTCCACTGGAACCACCGCGTATCTTGTTCGCACACGGCCGGGGGACAGCTACAGGCATGTCGTCATCGGGCACGTGCCCTCCGCCTCGTAGTACTTAACGTACACGTGTCGCCCCATCTCCCCGTCTGCCCCCTCTGCGCGGAAGATGCAGAGGCACCTGACATACCACTCCTCTTTTTCTGACCGGTACACTGCGATGTCTGAAAACCACCGCTCAGAAGGGCTGGCCTTCACAAATGTGCCCTTGGGCACAAGCTCCCCCCCCCGCGTTCGGGGGATCGCCACGGCTGTGTGCACCTGCGTACGCCGTGCAACACAGACAGATCATAGTGGATGCGGTGTGAGGGTGACACAAGGCGGTGGCCCTACCTTCACACCTGCTATCACCCCAGCAGAAACCATCACACAACCACCCTCTCCAACGACATTCCCCACCTCGATGGTGGTGGCGGGAATGCCTGCCGCCACCATGCACCCGGCGAGTGCGTCCATGTCTGACCCATGAGCTTCGCGGTACGCCCACATCACCGCGTCCAGGTCCTCGTCCACGTGCGCCCTCTTTGACGTCTTCGTCAGGACCAGCTTTATGCGCCGCACGGCCTGTGTGGACGCAACAACATGCACGCCACGTGTGAGCGCCCGGGGTCCGAGGGCACTCTCCTTTCTACAGCACATCGTGAGCCTGGTACACAACCCTATACGCTCACCTCGCGCAGCGCCGTCACATACTGCCTGTTTCCACCCGCCTCCGCCGCCACCTCCCGTGCAATCTTGCGCTGCACCTCCTCCTCGACAATTTGGCGCGGGATGTCAAGCCAGTTGCTGCCACGGACCGGCACCTTCACGGTCCCCTTGTGCGTGTGCTCCCACAGGTTGGTGGATGTCTCGTTCGGCATACCACGCAGTGGTACGCCGTCAATCAGGTGCACAATCTGGTGCACCTTAGGGATGTTCCAGTCAGACGTCTGGTCAGGGAATGCGGCCTTGATGGCCGCCACCATCCTGCGTGTGCGCATGGGAGGCATGCTTAGTCTGGACATCACACTCGTTGCGCAACATATCTAATATGCACAACCGGACTGTACGTACTGCACAGCCATCTCCCGGACGTCGTCCAGGGACTTCTCGGTATGCTTGTCACGCCCACCAGCGCCTTGTAGAAGCTGGCGTACGCCACAAACGCCGCCACCTCCCGTTCCCGTTTTGCCTTAGCCGACTGCTTGCTCTTCTCCATGTTGTCTGCGATAAGCAGGGGCATCACCTGCATCATTCCCCTGTGCTCGAAAGCGGCGTAGTTCGCCCCTGTGCTGAACCACGTGGTCCCCCCTGGGATGCGCACCACGCTTGCGCGCGTGTCCTTCTTTTGTTCCTTGCGTTGCCTGCCATGGTTGGGTAAGAGTGTCAGCAACGCACTCGCATGGACAACAACGGATCCGTTCCATTCCCATGCATACCAACCTCTCAAACTCGCGCCTCTCCGGCTTGCTCTTCCCAGCCATGAAGCACTTGCCCATGTGCGGGAGCATCCCCCCGTCCAGGATGTGTAGAAGGTCTGCCGCGCATGCGAGAAACACGTTTCCCCACGTGGTCTCGGCAAAGTTCCATCTTTCCAAGTAGCACTGCCACACGCAGAGACGACACGCATGTGACAGGGCTCTGCGTCACCCCCCCCCCGTGTGCACATTCACATGGGTTAGTAAGAGCTCATTATGCACTGGTAATCCTCACATGCACAGGGTGTGTTGACCATTGTTTCTTGATTTTCTCCGTCGCCTTGCTGTCGGACGCCGACTGAATTGCGTCCACGACCCGTCTCTGCAGCTCCACCGTCCGCGTCACCGACTTATGCGACAGGTCTGCCAGATGTGTCTCCTTCATGTAGCACGAAGAACACGGCCGATGCGGCCCTTGCTGCAGAGTCGCTGTAGACCAAGACGACTCTGGGAAGTCCCCCAACTGCCCGAAAAGACAGGGAAATGCCTTCACCACTTTGCTTGTCGCGTCCGTCACATAAAACCATCGCAACTCGGCCCTGCACACGGCGCCATGGGAAGTTGTATTCTTGTAAGTCATATCATGGCTCGTACGCTCCACTCCCAGGCCCGCTCACCCTCTGTGCGCGCGAAGTAGGGGCTCGAATATCACCTCCATGCACTGCTGGAAGATGCGCGTCTTCTCGGTAGATGAGGCCCACTCTGGCGGGAACGGCAGCACACCAGCCAGTACGTGGCCCGGCTCCTGCCAGCGGAGCGCTTCTGGGATGTTGAACAAGCTGATCAGGACCGGCCATGCGGCCAGTCTGCCATTCCTCGAGGCGTGCGTGCTGTCGCTGTACACAATCACACCCAGCACAATGCAGTCCTCCTCTCCAATCGCGGCCTGCACACACGCTGGACCCAAACCGTCAGTGACCCGCGAGCTGCCCATCACCATCCACCCATACGATTAGGACTACATACCCGTGCTTCTTCCAGCCACTTCCCTGTGTCGGGAGTGCTGTAATGCCGCACTTCCTCGGTGTCTTCTTCGTCCGCCCGAGGCTTTGTCACAAATCACGCGATGTGTTGGAATGCGCGTAGCAGTTTTTTCACCAGCTGCCACACGTATGCCCACGAGTGGTCACTGGTCTGCCCATTTCCCCCATCCGCAAAACAATCATGCAGTCGCCCAAATTCCATGCATGTACCCATGTACTCACCAGCTCAGTATCCCGGTAGTGCAGCAGTAGCGTACACATCCTGCCTCTGGGGCCGTAGCACTTGATGTCCTTCGTCATCCATGGGACCTGATCTTTGGGCGCCTTGTCGCACCCAAAGCGTCTCACGTCCACGAAATTGAGCCACCGCCTCACGTCCCTCAGCGAGAAATTAGGGTTCTGAAAAATGTTAAGCAGTCTGTTCACCTCCCGTCTGGACAGATCTGCCTCGCGGAAGAAGATGTACAGCTCGATCAGAGTGTTGAAGCCGTCGTCAATCATTGATATAACACTCTCATCCCCGTCGCTTTCCTCTTCTACGTCTTCGGGAGGGTCGGGTTGATCGGTAACTGCAGCCGGTTCCACTGCGGCCCTCTCAGCAGCGTCGCCTCCATAGCTGCGACGAGAATGCACGGGTGAACGGGGCCTTGCTCCGCGCCTGGCGCGCAGCGCGTCCCGGTACGCCTCCACCAACCGCTGGGCACGAGAGTGCTGTATCTTCCTCCTGCACTTGACATTCTTAGACACATGCGACTGGAGCGTGTTGTCGTCTACGTGCTCCAAGCCGCATGCCTCGCATTCGTTACCCAGCATCACAAGAGTTTGCGCGAACCCTAATTGCAAATTACCGATAAACTGTGCCACACGTAAGCAACCTCAAATGTACCAGCAACCCCCTCTGTCATGGTACGACCACCCGAATCGGTGATGTCGACCTTGTTCACGGTGATGAACGGTAAATGTGTACCCGATTTTTAGCACCATTGTATGAAACACGTAAAGCATGAGATATCTTCGGTGTTGGACGGTTCATTAGGCCAGTCACAACGATAGCTCTTACCCATCAGATCATCGGTCTGTCCAGTGCTCAAGGAACAGCACAACTTTTCCAACATGACCGCACCCGAACGAAACCACAACAATTCACTGTACACTGGCGCCATCCTGACCAGTGATCGTACACGTTCTCGTCTATGTGCAGATGTTTGGTGGCGCACATCGTCCGAATGACGTTACTACATGTGTCCACACCTCTAACGTATGTGGACAGGAGTGCTGCAGGATGTGATTACGTGGCGGATAATGTCCGCGTGTACAATGACGCTCTCAGTCATTCCATCATCCTACTTGAGTAAGCTATGCGAGCTTATATTCGCGGCACTGCACAGTTGGTGCACTCAGCTCTCAGCCATGGCGGAAATGGCCATGCTACTGGCTCAGATAAAGGCTAATCCAGAGGACGTGTACTGCTTCGTGGAGGAGCCTCTCTTGCCCACCAGGCTCCCCTTCCTTCCGACCGAGAATGGGCACGATGATTCGCTGCCCGGCTGGCGCATCAATGTCTGCTTCCTGTTCAATGCAACGGGAACAAACATGTGTCCGCCTCTTCTGATATTCCGAGCGGACGACGCGCTTGCTCAAGGCCTTCAAACACCCCCCGATTTTTCCGTGTTCGTGCGGCACAGCGTAACCGGGTTCGTCACGCCCGAGGTGGGAGATATTCTGCACAAACCCGGTACTTTTTGCGGAATGTGACTGGTTTTTAACTGTTTAATCCCAGTTGCTAACACGTCTGCTCCATCCTCGCGTTTTTACGCTTGTCAGATATTCAGCGAGTACCTTGAAGCGTTGAACGGGCGGTCGTACTCTACCGACGACCATGTCATCGTCCTCGTGACACAGGACGCCCACTCGTCAACGGATCCATCTGCGAT